AATTTCGAGGACGAAATTCTTTTAAGGGGGAGAGGATGTGAGGGCTCAAAAATTTAATTTTCGATTTAATTGTGGCTGGAGTTGAAGCTTGACAAAATTGACCAAGAGACAAAAGGAAAACTTGGATTTAACTTGGCACTTTGACTAAGTTATATTAACCAAGACAAGACCAAAAACAACATAAAAGAAAGAGAGGGGAGGGGAAGTCGGGCAAGCTGGACAAGAAAGAGAGAGAGAGAGAGAGAGAGCCATGAGATAGCGAGAGAAAATAGAGAGGAAAAGGGAGAAAAGCAAGAGGAAATCTGGGAATTCAATCAACCATTTATCCCTCCAATTATGTGTGAAAGCAAGGAGAAGGAATGATTGACTGCTGGCTGTCTTCATCATCTCTGTCCAGCTTTGTTTCTTGAAGATTGAAAGGTAACCTGACTTCCGAGCTCTCAATTTTTATGGTATAGCTTGTAGTAGTAACTAGAAGTTGGAGTTACTAAACTAGGAATTGATTTCATAGCTGGAAATTCGTGGGTTGAAATTGATTGAATGAATTTGGCAGTTTTGATTACTGCTCCAGATTTCTTGTCTGAAATTGGCTTGAATATTCGGGTATGATGGAGGCTGAATTAGCCTTAGAACAAAACATGGAAGTTGTATAAAATTGAGTGTAGATTATGCCTGTAGATTTCAGCTCAATCGGAATAGGGTACCTTGTGAAATGACTATTTTACCTCTGCTGCCCTGTTTTTGTCAGACATGATCATCTGCCTCCATGATTGCTTCGTTTGGCTGGGAAGATGAATGAATTAGTTTTTGACGCCTTCTTAAGAATTGTAGCCTTGTATCTTAGATTTCAAATGGTTTTGGAATTACCTGAATCAGAGTTGTGTGTGCTGAGATATGATTGAATGAATCAGGACTGCTTGTTGAATTTCACAGTGAGTTTCGAACTGGAAAATCTGGGGGCTGTTTGGGTAAATTTCGCTAGGTTAGGATGGGAACTGAGTTGAGACGCCTTCATGAGAATTGTAGAGGTATGTCTTAGCTTCGAAATTTTGTTTGTTTCAATCCGATAAGTGTAGCTCGAGTTGTGCTTAAATTGCTAAAAGGTGACAGTGATATGTGATATTGAACTTTGTGTTTTAGGAATTGGATTTGGACAATAATCAATTGTGGTGAATGGGGATCATGAGCGGTGATTGGTGAGTATTCCTTATTTGTTAATATCTTTTCTCAAGTATTTTAGTTAAATGTACCCCTTTGTTTATTTAAATGTATTGCCGTTACTAAAAGGGTTTGCCAAATGGATTTGTGAACTATATTCTCTTTATAAGGTGCGTGTGTACTTTATCGCACTCACCTAAGGACATATGTCTGATTTGAGCAATTGGGATTTATTGTATTAGCTGCCTTATGTGATTAAATGAGACTTAGACGGGGGTGTACCTTGTCGCACTCGATCTAGGTCTCAATATTTTGATATTGGATGTGTGATATGTGATTGGGTGTATATATGTGATAAATCTTGTTTTATTACATGTTTGGCTTGTTAATTATTGCAAGGTATTCCTTAATTTGGATGGATGAACCTGTGTGTGTTTAAGTATAGTAAGAGGAAAAATTTCTGTTTTGAATCTTTCATGTTGGCCAAATTTTTGGGACAAAATTTCAGATTTTTCGAGCTTTTATTTGAGTTAAAGTTTTGCCAAAATAATGGATTTTAAGTGTATTTGGGTTGATTAAACCGATTAGCTCTTCAAAGGAAAAGAAAGGAGTGAACTTGTTAAAGTGGAAACTGGAAATTTGCTTTCTGGAACATCAGGCCAGTTTCGGGAAAAAGGTTATCTTTTGGTGCATACCAGTCCAAATCGAGTCCTGTTTGTTTGGTTTGAAACTAGACACATAAGGCTACAATCCATGTAAATTTCAGGGGCTAACTCATTTTCTGTGATTTTTGGTGATTTTTCCAAGTCCGCTGGAAAAACAGAATTTTCCCTGCCCGGCATTTTACTGTAGCAGTCTATTGACGGAAAAACTGGGCAAAATCCATATGGAATCTCATCAAGGTGTCTTCTGCAAAGTTTTAGCCTTTCAATTAGGTTTCCAACGGTATAAACCATGTAAATTTTGGACTTGTAAATATTAAGTTACGATTTTCTAATGGTTTTTGCCATAAACCTCCAGTTTCCTGATTTTTACAATAAACATGAAAATGACTTGATATTTTTGCTTGGCCTTGAATATGCACGTGAATGATCGTGATTATACATGTCTCAGGTGAATACAAGAACTACGAAGAACTCGTTTAGCCGCTTCATTTTTTTTCTCTCTCTCACGACTTTTGGTGAGTATCAAGTGCATGTGAAGTGTTTAAATGAAATGTTTCTCGTACTTGCTAGTTAATGAGGCTAGGGTATACTTTATCGCTCTTGTCCTCTCTTTCATGAAATTGCTTGCTTGATAAGTGATACGTGTTACATGTGAATGCAAATGAAAGTGTTTTTTGTGAGCATTGAGCTGCAGAATGTATCATGCCCTTTTAGGGTAGGAGGTACCGCTCATCCCGTCTCAATGCTATGACCAAATCTTATCGATTGGAGCTTCGTCTCATCGACCTAAAAGTGAATCAGGGGGACGCCCCAACCCATTGGCTAGCCTTGTAACTCAAGCCGGCAAGGGTTTGGTCAAGAAACTTGGTGAATCTTGGGAAGTGTTATAGCTTGATCCAAATAAGGGGTCTTGCTAGGTATACTTGTTAAGTGATACCACCTACATGTTTGTTTGGTTACGGATCCAAGAGGGTGTCATGGTGGTTGGAGGTAGTAAGTGGAGTTCTACATGGATAACTGTGAAAGTTGACGGAGGGTCAACTACCTGAGCTTGGATCGTGCGTGGATTAGCTCCTGAGAGCTCCCGTATCCTTTTATTGTGATTAAATTCCCTACTTGCTTAATGTTTCGCAGTTACTTGTTACTCGAGTTATTGCTTTATATTGTGTCTTTGCTCGCATGCTTGCATGTTTTTCCCTTGGCCTCACTGAGCGTTAGCTCACCCCAATTTGTTTTCCTTAACAGGTTTGGAAGTGGAAGTTCTGAGGCTTAATTAGTGACCCCCAAAACTAATTTTCTCCCCACAGGGCTCGAGGCATAGGAAGGGCTTGTAGTACGTATTCATGTGAATGGTTGGCTCATCGCTTGTACTGTTGCAATTTTATTTCTGCCTTGTGTAATATTTGAGACTGCGATTGTACTTATACATTTGTGAGAACTAAGAACCTTAGTCTTATTCGGGAAAGTTGTATTGCTTTGATCTCTTGAGGTTTTAGTTGATAGTGTAATTGATTAGTTTCCGATTCGCTTTGATATGTAAATTTTGGAACATTTGATGTATATTTGAGATTTATCTTGTAATTCATTTGAGAACTGTAGTGAACGACTGAGTTTCGACGAGAGCTGGGTAGGCGGCCCGCAGAACCCTTTGGTTCGCCTTAGGGGGAGGTTGGGCTGTCACACAAAAGCTCCGAGAAAATCGCCAAGATGAAGTCTTCGACCAAGTTTAAGCTAATCTCTAAGTGATATGGAAGCTGAGTGAAGATTTTGGAGTGAGATTGTGCAAGAATAGAGCAAGAATGATGCAGAGCTTTCTCTTCTTCTTCCTTGGCTGGTGTGGCCGGCACTAAGCGAGAGAAAAGAGAGGTTGGTGTGTTGTGAAGCTTCCTTTGGAAGCTTGAGGGTTTTGTGGCCAAAATTCTAACAAAAGTCAACTGATAATAGTGTTTGCGCGCGCGCATTTCGTATCTGATTTCTCTCGGATTTGTTTCACTTGTGCACTAAATCTCTAATGTATTTCATTTAACTTTATAATTATTCACTCTTAGTAGTTTAGTATAAATTTCTTAAATCTCTATTTAACTGTTCCGGCTCGATATACGCGAACTTCCCATTCGCGCGCGATAAAGCAAAATTTTCAAGGAATTCATGTAACGATAATATAATTAACTAATACTAGGGTAACTAATTATAAAATAACTATTTAAGAACAAAAACATGAGTTCTCATACGAGTCTAGTATTAATTTCTCAAATCCCCAATTAGTTTGTACCTGCGCGATTTTTGGGAAACTTTCGACGCGCGCACGGTATAAGCTATGACTTTCCTTCCCAATTAACTCACTCACATCTAATCTCTCAATTAACTTTTCTTAGTCTACCATTGATCATTCTTAATTCTCCAAGATTATTGCACTCTCAAATCGAATTTTGCCTCGAAAAATGTGTACTCGTTATTTCTTACTAAACGAACCTCCGAAAAATAAATTTTGCTAACGAAACGTTTTAAAAATATAAGGGAGACATTGTTCCATACAAATAGACTTAAAATGGCTGAAATAAATTATTCCGAGAAAATAGGTGAATAAATAATTAAATAAGCCAGTAAAATAAGATAAAAATAAGAAAATTTTCGGGTCCTCACATCATTCTCTCCTTAAAAAGAATTTTGTTCTCGAAATTCACACTTAGGACAGTATCATTCCCTTAATGGTTAAGCCAATCAGATCAATCACTAACTTATGTTTTTCAACTCATACTTCGCAATTTCTATTGATTGAACTAGTAATCAAACTTTGATTTTCCCCAATAAGTGTTTTAACTGTGACAGCCCCACCTTCCCCTAAGGCGTGCCAAAGGGGTTAACGGACTGCCTGCCCATCTCTCACCAGGACTAACGAGATAGTTAAATTCAATCTAAAACATTCCGGAAGATAAAAGCGCGCTCAAACAAGTCAAAAATTTCAAAATGGAAAAACGAAAATCGGAGCCGATCATGAACAGTGACGGCCACGTCACAATCCGGCCGGATTCCTGGCCGAATTCAAGCCAGAGAGCAACTGGCCGGATCCCAAAAATTCCAGGGCATTGGCCGGATTCGCCACTGTCCTTTTCCGCCAAAATTTTTTTCTTTTGCCGTTTGAAGTCCGAACCTGTCTGAAAATCATCCAAACAGCAACAAAGCAAATAAACCTTGAAATTTGACATGTACAAGTCAAAATGACATACAATGTTAACAAACACGTTTATACAAGTGTGGTTCCAAATTTACAAAGTCAAAAGAGAAGGTTGGATCAAAATACACTTAGGGTTTCATTCATTGAAGAGCTATATAAAAGAATATTTAACCTAGCTCAACTCGGCAACAAAATATCATAGCCTTTCGAAAGGTGTTCCAATCCCTGTAAGGAAAACAAAAGTAACAGGGTGAGCTTCTGCCCAATGAGGTACCGTCACCCAAACAACGAAGTTCATATAAGCATAGAGCCAATCAATCCAAATCCATCCAATAAAGAAGTTGACTAACACTAAATTTCAATAAAATTGGTAAAAGGATACGGGCGGCTCTCAAGAGTCCTTTTCCTCACTTGCCATACTTGATCTCACCTCATCGACTCTCTGTCAATGTACAAAAGGGAACCAATACCGTAGACTCCACTTTACTCCCCATTCCGTCCACCTCTCATACCCCTACCGGCCCCGAACTCCAATCAATTCAGAAATGGTAATACTCGAGTATACCGAGAATCTCATACTCAAGGATTCCACATAACAGTCCACATGGCTCGTCAATTTTCACGACCAAGCCCTTGCCGGCTCGATACAATTGACCACCAATGGGGTTGAGTTCAGTGATGACAGTAGAGGTCATTGGATACACGCCCAAACGACACTAATTCAAGTATATTCAAGCGGCATTCCATATATACAGTAAACAGTCACATAAGACATAAAGTGCGAGAGTGATAAAGTACACCCTTGTCTCAATCAATCTCAACAGTAAACACAAGCATTCAAGACATAGATTTCAAGTATATCAAAGCCATGAAGTAACAATCTTGTGAGTTGTACACTCACCAATCAAACAAAGGTAGTTTCACAAATTTCTACCTGACGAGCGTCTCGAGTCACCGTTACGCCCTAAAACATTCAAGAAAGTACAATGAGACTCGATTACGAGTCATAATTCCAAACCACACATCACTATTACAAAATCGTAATAACTTGAAAATAATATAAAGTACACTTGGTGCTAAAGGTTTAGACAACCCTAGAGTCACCAATTAACCCCTAAAGCACCCAAACCCAAGAAAACATATGAACCTACAATTTAGACAGCATTTCTCCTTATAGATTTAATTTTCCAACCTACAATCATTCACCCATGTTTCCCAAACACAACCACCATTACCATTACAAGTCATAGGCCATCCAATACAACTTATTAAGGTCACAAAACCCTTTGAACAAAACCAATTCAAGTGTTCCATGGCAACCCTATAAAAGCCCCAATTACAAACCCTAAATCTGAAATTTTCCGTACAAAGCGGAAATTTTCCACAAATAGCTACAATTTACACACTATAGCTTCATTCTAGACCATTCCAATCCATCATCCATGGCCAACCAATATTAAACATATAAAAACAGAAAAATCATGAATAAATATAAGAATTTACCAATCTCTACCAAAAGTCATGAAATATCACCTAAAACCATCTCTTTAACTCACACAAGCCACTAATTGAACATTATTAAGATCAAAGAAAAGGTTCCTTAGTCACTTACCTTGCAAACCCAAGAAAAGACCCAACTTAGCACCTCCTCTTTCCAAACCACTCCACCAACTACTTCACTACTACTCAACCAAGGGTTTTTATGGAGAAATTTCAAGTTTAATCGGTTGGATTGTAAGATTGAGCAAGATTGAGAGCAAAAGAGTCGAAGGTTTCCTTTCTTTTCTTTTTAGAGAGAGCCGGCCAAAGAAACTTGAAATGAAGATGATTTTTGGGTCAATTTTTGATTAATTGGTAAAGTGAATGAATAGTGGTCAAAGTCCAAAATTAAATCACAAAGTGACACTTGTCACTCTTTTAATGCAAAGCTATCCTTTTGTCTCTCCAACACAAATCCATCTGGGTAACCTCTAATTATCTCTTAGCAGCTAGTAAATTAAACCCTGTACATAAAATTTAACCTAATTGGTCGAATTTTATCGAACTTACTGCACTAGCAGGTCCCATGCCCGGTATACGTTCCTAAAATCACATGAACTAACTTATACTAGAAAAATGATTTAAAACCATATTTACTCATAAAAATCATCTAGAAATTTTTTTCTAATAAAGAAAATGTATAAAAAGCATGTAATTAAATAAAATAAAGCCTAGAAATAAGAAAATTTACGGGTTCTCACACTCTCTCCCCCTTAAAAGAATTTCGCCCTCGAAATTTTTTTCACCTTGATTCACGAACAGTTCAGGGTATTTCTTTTGCATTTCTTCTTCCATCTCCCAGATAGCTTCATCTACCCCATGATTTCTCCACAAGATTTTCACCAACGGAATCTGTTTGTTTCTCAACTCCTTAACTTTTCGATCAAGCAACTGTACAGGTTTTTCTTCGTAGGTGAAGGATTCATCTATTTCGATTTCCTCCGGTTGTAAGATGTGAGACGGGTCGGGGTAATACTTTTTAAGTATTGAGACGTGGAAGACGTCGTGAATTCTAGATAAACTTGACGGTAGTTCAAGTTGATACGCTACTTTACCAACCCTTGAGCCCCTCTACTTAGCAGTTTTCCAGCCCGAATGCCCGAGATCATGGCAGATGAAGCTAACCAACCCCTTATATCTAACCTTAAGGTTGCCTCACCAGGAATGCGGAATTCTATCACTTTCCTTTTGCAATCAAGTTGAGCATTATACCTGGCTAACCAGTCTATGCCCAAGATTACATTGTATCCCTTAATAGACAGGCTTATCAAATCCCCCAATAATTTCCTCTCTCCTACCCAAACCTCGCAGTCCTTATAAACCATGCTAGTGATCAAACGATGGTCCCCAGTAGGCGTCCTAACTTCTAAGTCGTAAGGTAAACTAGCAGGTTTTATATCAATACCACACATGAAATTGGGGTTAACAAAGAAATGGGTGGCACCGGGATCTACTAAGACCTTCGCAAATCGGTGAAATACAGGGATCGTACCTTCTACGACCTCGAAAGAGTCAGGAACCTGCTGTGGCTCTAACGAGTACACTCGAGCTGCTACCTTGGGTTTCGTCCCGTCCCCCTTAACTAGTCCGGAACTGGTCCTTGGCAGTTGTTGACTTTCCTTTCCATCTTGTTTTAGAATTGAGCAGGTGGCAAACTGGTGGTCTGCGCTTCCGCAACGCAAACACTTTCCCTCCTTCTTTCAGCAGTTGTCCTCTGTGTGGTTTGGCTTTCTACAATACCCACAGGGTCCACGGGATGCCGAACCCGAGCCTCTCTGGAAACCTCCTCTTTGGCCTCTTCCAGCTAGGTCACCTCTTGGCTGACCCCTCTACTTACGTCCGACTGCCTTCCAGCTCCGGCTCCCCGTCCGAACTTGGGAAGGGCACTCTTATCCCCCTGCCCTGAGCTGCTTCCAGGAAATCCTCGCTTCTTTGCCTGGAAGTTTCTCACCTGTAGCCTAGCGCTTTCCACCCATTGAGCTTTCTCTATGGCCTCACTAAAAGCGTTAATTTGGACCACCGCGAGGTCCTTCTGAATTTCCACGTTCAAGCCCTGTATAAAACGGCTTATCCGCCATTGCTCGGTCATGCTTAGCTCCGGAGCAAATTTGGATAGGCGGGTGAAATGGCTCTCGTACTCCGCTACAGACTAGGCCCCCTGACGAAGCCGAATAAATTTGTCTTCCTTCCGTTCCTGAACTAGAGAAGGGAAGAATTTAGCATTGAACTCCCGCATAAAGTTCACCCAAGTCCTGGGCGTTTGCTCCCGTTCCCACTTTTGCCGAATAACATTTCCTCAGGAATGGGCCGCCCCTTCCAGTTGAAAGACGGCGAAGGTCCTCTGCCTCTCCTCTGTATAATGCAGGGCAGCAAAAATATCCACCATCTTCTCCAGCCACCTTTAGGCTACATCTGGATCGGGCCCCCCAATGAACTTTGGTGGGGCAAACTTCTGAAATCTCTCGAGAGCCCTATCCTCGCTCTCTACGTGGTTACCAGAGTTCCCAGGATTGGGGTTAGGGTTTTGACCCTATTGTTGCACCACTTGGGCTAGTAAATTAGTCATTTGCTGCATGGCAGTAGCTATTTGGACATTAGGGTCAACCCTAGGTTTAGGGTTTGGTCCGGACGAGATCTCCCCAGTGCTCCTTTCAGACGTGGGTTGCCTATTCTCGCGTCCGCGGCCCCAACCACTACGAGTGCCTTCTATGGAATCTAGTCGTTCTACGCAAACGTAACTATACATTAAAGATAACAATACATGTAAGTAAGGAACCAAAAGCTTTTCACAATAAAGCACATATACATTACAAAACAGAGTCAAACAAGTCACATATTAACAGTCAGTCAAATACAAACAAAGACAGTCCATAAGGGAACAACATCATCAAAAGTAATATATACATAGCTAGTCCAAACGTACAAAATGGCTAGCTAAGGCTCTTTCCCGGATCTACCATCCCCTATCCTTCCTATATACGGTAGTCAAAACCATCCAAAATAACCTAAGAGTAAGGACTTAGTCCGCCGTAGGACTAGTTGACCTACCAAACTGGGCGGGTTCACCTCCAACCCCGCCTCCTATATACGAAGCCTCATCGCTCTCCTCCTCGAGCAAATCATTGCAAAGGTTCAAGATCGACTCGGCTCTAACCCTTACTTTCCTAGCCCTCTTAACCATGCGCTCACGCGCCTCTCCTAGTCGTGCATAAAGGTCATCCACCCTATCTTGACCTTCAACCACGTCATACTCCAACTCCTTAATTCGCTCGGCTTGCCTTTTATTGGCTTCCTTTAGTTGGTTCACCTCGGTTTCGAGTCTAGCGTTGTCCTTTGCTAACTTCTTTCTTTCCTCCACCACGGCAAAAATGACCGCATTGGGATAGGCGTAGGTGTGGCGGCACTCACAACGCCGATGGTGGTTAGTCGGACTCCAACGTACAATGGCCCCTCTTGGTCGGATCTGATATTTAATCATCGGAAGTACGCCACGGGCCCGCTCACCAGCAGGACCACCACTAGGCCCATTATGTCCGTCCATCCTACACCAAAAGTGTAAGTAAACGTAAATACTCTTAAGGGACATAATCAAATATACTCCTCAAGTCGGAAGTTTCTAACGTACCCAGACTAATTCAAACCTAGGCTCTGATGCCACCTGTGACAGCCCCACTGTCGCGCCCCATTTTTTGATAAATAAATAAAATGGTTTGAAAATGTATTTTTTTGGATTGGAAAATGAATTGTGATTTAAAAGAAAAATGGGTCTAAATGGGGGGTTGAGAATGCGACGATTTGACCCAAAATTATAGTTTAAAAAGGGTTTGAAATAAAAATTGGAGTCGCCTCTTGGTAATGAGTTAAGGTGTACCAAGTCACCAAAAAAATGAATTTTTAAAGAAAAAATAGGAAAAAGTAGTAAGAAACCCCTTTTAAACGACTCCTAGTCCACGTAAACCAAAGAAAAAGGTTCGGGAGTCACATTTGACAAAGGGGAAGGCAAGGATACAATCCAAGGCACCCCTTTGACCTAGCCAAGGCTAGTTGCGTGATTTAATCAAAGATTTTCTTGTTTTGACCAAAGAATTTATTACATTTGGATGTGCTACATGAAATGCAAAACCCTAGATTCTAAGATGTCTCTTGTAAGGTTTTTGGTCCCAACCACATGAATTGTGGCGACCAATGAAAGAAAACCTTATAGAGGTCGATTAATGCAAATGATGATTCAAGTGCAAGTGTGCAAGTGTATAAAAAGGTGCATGTGTGCAATTGTATGGAAATCCAAGTGTTTGTGTGCAAGTGTATGAAATATAGTGATAAGTGTATATAGATCGTAATTAAGTGCAATTTTGTGAAGTAGAAACCAAAATTGAACAATAAGGAAAGGAAAAGTAATGAGAAAATGCGAATTGAAAAAGTGAGTAAGTGAAAAATTGAGAATGAATGAACCTAAAGGAATGCATCAAGTCGGGTATGGGAATGACTCCTAACTTTTTCGACTTCGATTTTCTCTTTGATTAGAAGGCAAAACTAGCGTGCTAAGGCTATCGAGTAGCCACACTCGCTCGTTTCCCTTATCGGAAGGGGACACTCAAGCAAAATGAACCCTATAGCTAGTATGGGATGCAAAACCTAAAATGAGAGGAAAAGGGGTTTGAGGATCATGCCAAATGATAAAACTAAGGAAAATGCGTGATATGTGGTGAACAAGCAAATGATGTACTAACGAGGGAAAATCCCTAAGGGTCTAGCGTTGGACTAACCCATTCTATGAATTCCGACTAGCGTTGGACTAGTGGAAACGATAAAAGAAGCCACAACTAGCGTTGGACTAGTGTGGTGACGTACATTCATCCATTCCATTCATCCACACTATGGAAAGCAAATAGACATACTAAATACTCATAAACACGTAGCACGTAACATTTAGCATGCTCGACTAGATGCAAGGACCTAATAAAGCGATTAAACACTTAACACGTATGCATGCAACCAACTAATGAACCTATTATATTCACTAACTAAAACAAAAAGGGGAAGGGGAAAATGGACCAAATTGCTCGCCACAGCCCTATCTATTACAAGCCAAGAGGTGTACACATACCCCATTTAAAAGAATAATTTAATAAAAGCAAGAATGAATGAAATAATGGAACTAAAGAATGGTAATGAGAGCAAATTAGGCATGCGATTCACACTTAGCACATTGGATCACATAGGAGAGACAAAAGGGATAAAAGAAATTATACCTCCCTTGAAATGAAACTCTAATGGAGTGAAATCAACTTATTTACCCTCCAAAATAATAAAAGCATCAAGGCATCACTTTAATCAAGAAAATAATCACAAAAGATAAAAATGAATCATGAAATTAAATGAATTAAATCATATAAACAATCTACATGCAAGAAATTAAAACAATGAAGGACTTGATTGCAATAATTAACAAAGTTTGGAGGTCAAAATTAAAGAAAAATAAAGTTCAGGGACCTATTTGCAATTAATTTAAGGACCCAATTGAAAGAAGTTGAAAATGTCCAGGGCCACAGTACATTTAAGGAGAAATTCAGGGACTGATTTGCAAAATCGTTTTCTGGTTTCTTATTGGACCAAACCATTGGGCCATTTTTCCTTATTTGCTTGGGCCAAAACCTTCCAGGCCCAATCGAAAGTCCAAAGTATTGAAATGGGCTAGCATATTATTTTGGCCCAAAAATTAGCCAACCAAATAGATGGGCCTTGACCCTCTAGCCCAAACACTTATTTCATTAAACTCAACAAGATAAACAAATCAACAAAATTATTAAACCACAATTATGACCCACAAACAAGAATTAATCTAGTTAAAAGCCTACTCATGCATATTAGAAGATGATTAAAATCTAAAAGGGAGAAACAAATTTACTTTTTCCAATTTTCTGGGTCATAGCAGCATTAGTTAGAAACCAAGGGATCAAAGTGCAAATTTTTTAGAAGATTTTCATGCAGCTTCATGCAAAAGTGGCGTGAAACAACATTCTGCAACAAACATTTTTGCTGAAAGCTTTCGGCAATCCAAAGACAACCGCAACTTTCATTTTCTCAACCTTAACACCATTTTGATCGAAAAATCTTCTAACCAAAACATTAAAGCATGAATCTAACACCAAACAAGAAGGTAAATCAAATTCAAAGTGAGCTTCTGCAATATGTTGCTCTTATGCTTTCAGCCAACAAAACAAATCCACACGCACAGCTTGTCTATCCAAAATCTGATTTCAAATCCAAACAACACAGCTTAAAACTACGCAAATTACATACCAATCACCATCCAAACAGGTAAAAACCTTAGAAAGATCTCCTACTCATGCAAAATTCTGGAGAACATGCAAATATTGGAAAAAAACTTCATGCAAAAAGGCATGGAGAAGCTTTCTATAACAAGAAAATCTGCTGCAACTTCCTCGGCCTCTTATCAGAACTGTCCGTTTTGTTATGGGCGAGTAGTTTATTCACAAGATTAAATCATCATGATGAGATTGATAAAACGAATCTAGACCGCAAACCAAAGGCATGCAGCTTAAACTTGGATCAAAATAAACCCCCAACAATGTTAGTTGGTCGGACCCAACACAACAGGAAAATAAGGGAACCATCAAAGTCCCAGATTCCTTTCAAGTTTCTGGTTAACAACCTTTGCAAACAAATTGAACCCATTACCAAACACTAAACCCAAAGCCATGCAATCTTGCTAACAAGACTGCCAAACATCAATTTGGTTTTCCAGCTCACAGATGAAGGAGCGGATTTCTGAACAAGCAATGAAATGGAAAAAAGGAAACAGCAAAGAACAGCAATCATGCGCAATCTAAAGGAAAATCCTGTTCTAATCAAAGCGAAATCCTATTTTAGTCCTATTCACCCATCTTAGGAAAATGCAGATTTGGTTTTATCGAAAACCCGTCGAACAAGAAAACACACCAGATTTCAGTTTAGCAGATTGCATGTTTAATCGCAAGCTAGCTTATTTCAATCGAACTCAGTTTGAATCAAACAAACACGATTTCCTACGTATCCTTCTAACATGAACTAACCAGTAACTAACATCAAGAGAAAGATCTAAACTACGCCATTCTTGCCAACAAGACTTATGTGGAGCCGGAAAGAAACAAGTAATGAGAAAGGAACATGGGCGCAGCAAGCATGATTTCTTTCATCATGCAACCGAATGTAAAAGTGCAACAAGGACACAAAGAAAAACTCACGGCAAATATATTCACAGTATACTATCCGAAGACCGAAAAGATCATAACCCTCAAAACACGCCCAAAACATGAACCAACAAAGGGGAAATCAGCATTTGTCCATGCTTGCTGCAATTTTCTGCTGCAGTTTCGCATGCTCCAATTCATGCCAATGGAATGCCAAAATAATACACACAAAAAAGGAACTCACCCTTAATTCATCAAACTCACATACATCTCCAAACATTCATTTATCACTGATCAAGCATGATCACCTCACCCCCAAACTGTTCCAACCAAGGTGTCCAAAATTCAAGAAAGCAAGAACAATGACAACTAAACAAAAAAAATGCAGCAAAAGAGACCTTAGCTTGGAGCGGCTAATGTTTCAGCATTACATGGTAATATCTACTGCTATGACAAACCAGAAAATTTACAACGAGCAACAAAAGAAAGTTTTGAAATAAAGCTAAGCATTCTATACAACCAAAAAACAAAACAGCCATGAAGGAGAGGTTTATAAGACAGCGCGCATGTATCAAAACCAACCCAACTCTCGGTTTGGGCATTTTATCAAACAGCCAACGGACATAAGAAATTTCACCAAATTTTTGTCGATTGAAGTTATGATTAGCCCCCAAAATTATCAGAACAAACAGAAATTCATTTCCAGGCACCATATAATACACATATATCCGCGGGCGATGTAAAACACGGAAGGAAGGCTGAAACGTAAACGAAGAAATTACCTCTCACGGTCTCGCCGAAACAAAATGCTCCAAGGTAGGCAGGAGACAAATCCGGTGCTCCTGATTTCTGAAGTTTAATTGAATCTGGAGGGTGGTGGCGCTGGTAGTGGTCAAAAAAGGGAGCGAATGATCGGCGGATGCGGACTGGTGGTTCCGGCAACCCTTCGGACGAACCTTCCTTGCTCGATTTTTATCGCAGCTTTGCGCCTCTGCTTTGGTTCCTCCGTTTCTTTGCTCTGCCCGAAAGCTTCCAACAGTTCCAGGTTTTTCTTCCGCTATTTTTCCCTTCCGCCCTCCAGACGAAACGCTCCGTTCTTTCCCTTCAGTTTTTCGTTTCTTTGTTCCATCCCTTTCTCCTGATTTGTGTTTCTTTTCCTAGCCCCCAGACTTTCTCTCGCTCTCTAGCCGCTTTCCTTCTTCACTCTCCCAAAAAACCCCCCTCTAGTCTTCTGATTTTTCCCTGTTCTTTCTTTTTCCTTGCCGCTCTCTGAAGCCCAGTCCGCCGCCCCTAGTCTGTCCTCTATTTTTATTTTCTTGCTTGGTCGCCTAGCTTTTCTTCTTTCCTCCCTCAGCTTCATTAGTTTTTTCTGCGTTCCTCTAGCCGCTCCCCCTCTGTGTTTTTCTTGTTCTGTTTTGCTCTGTTTTTCTTTCTTTTCAGCTCTCAGCCCAGCCGAAGCCCTCTCTTCCATTTTCCAGTTTTTCTTCTTCTCATTTTTCCAAGCTCCGCCGCCAGCCCACCCTCTGATTTTTCCCCCGTCTTTAGCCTCTCTCTATCTCTCAAAACCTAGCTATCATTCTAGATTCATCCCCCCTCTCCAGGTGTCTAGGACACCTGGCCTTTTACAGCTCCAAATTTCATCTCCAGGACCTCTTCCAATCTCATTTGCAAGCTGCGGCAAAAAAAACACAGCTTTCTGCATTGCCGTGACTTTTTTTTTTTTTTTTAAAAGTAAGAAATAATTTTAACTAAAATAAATAAAATACTAAAAAAATGCTCAAAACAAATTCTTTTCCTTCTTTTCCTTTTCTTACAAATTTTAATTTTTCATCATTTTTTCATTTTTAAATAATGAAACTAAATCTGAAACAACTACAACATATTTTTTGAACGCTTTTTTTCTTTTTTTTTCTTTTTTTTCATGATTTTTCCTTTTTCTCTTTTTTTTCCAAAATAAATTAACAAAAATAAACAAAATGCCAAAAGATTGAATTTAAGAGAAATGAACGTATTTTGTGAACCATTTTCTTTTTCTCTTCTTTTTTTCTCTTTTTTTTCACAAATTTTACGTTAAAACTTAAAACTAAAACTAAAACTAAAACGTGAACAAAATTAATATGACAAATAAAACTAAAAATAATTAGCAAACAAAAGACAAATAAAAAGGTAACAACTAAAATGCAGACAATCTAAAACAAAATCATGAATTAGATGCAACATACAAATTATTTAAAAATTTGGTGTCTACACCCACTTTCCCCTAAAGCGTGCCAAAGGGGTTAGTGGACTGCCTGTCCAGCTCTCGCCAGGACTAACGAGGCAGTTAAATTCAATCTAAAACGTTCCGGAAGTTAAAAGCACGCTCAAACAAGTCAAAAATTTCAAAACGGAAAAATGAAAATCGGAGACGCACATGAATAGTGATGGCCACGTCACAATCCGGCTGGAATCTGCACGGATTTTCGACCGGATTCAGGCCAGAGAGCAACTGGCCGGATCCCAAAAATTCTAGGGCAATCCGGCCATCAACCCGGCCAAGTTTTGGCCGGATTCTTGGCCGGATTCGCCTCTGTCCTTTCCCGCCAAAATTTTTTTCTTTTGCCGTTTGAAGTCCGAACCTGTCCGAAAATCATCCAAACACCAACAAAGCAAATAAACCTTGAAATTTGACATGTACAAGTCAAAATAACATACAACGTTACCAAACACGTTTATACAAGTGTGGTTCCAAATTTACAAAGTCAAAAGAGAAGGTTGGATCAAAATACACTTAGGTTTTCATTCATTGAGGAGCTATACAAAAGAATATTTAACATAGCTCAACTCGGCAAAAAAATATCATAGCCTTTCAAAAGGTGTTCCAATCCCTGTAAGGAAAACAAAAGTAACAGGGTGAACTTTCGCCCAATGAGGTACCGTCACCCAAACAACGAAGTTCATATAAGCATAGAGCCAATCAATCCAAATCCATCCAATAAAGAAGTTGACTAATACTAAATTTCAATAAAATTGGTAAAAGGATACGGACGGCTCTCAAGAGCTCTTTTCCTCACTTGCCATAGTTGATCTCACCTCATCGACTTTCTGTCA